TCACATAGCCTCTTGATCAGGATGTTATGGTCTACAGTGTCGAATGCAGAACTGAGGTCCAGAAGAACTAACACAGAGCAGTCACCTGCATCAGAACACATGAGAATGTCATTTGAAACCCTCAGGAGAGCGGTTTCAGTAGAGTGTTGTCTGCGAAACCCAGACTGGAATTCGTCGTACGTGTTGTGCCTCTCTAGTGCAGCAGTAAGTTGGTTGGCCACCACTTTCTCTTAAATTTTGGACAGGAAAGGCAGTTTTGATATGGGACTGTAGTTCATAGGCAATGCCGGATCTAAGTTTGGTTTCTTTAATATGGGCTGGATAGTGGCATGCTTAAAATAGGAAGGGACAATTCCTGTAGACAATGAGGAATTGACAATAGATGTTACTGCAGGGCCAATAATTAGCAGAACTTTCTTAAATAGAGGTTGGTATTATATCCAGAGGGCAGATGATGGCTTTGTTTTGTTAATTAAGTCCATCAGGTCTTGAAGGCTGATAGGCTGGAAAGAGTCCAGAACAGTAGGACATTGCGAGGAGCTACATGTAGATGAACAAATCCCAGGCTGAATGCCAGACCTAATAGCTATTACCTTATCATTAAAATATGTAAGGAATTTGTTACAATCGTCAACAGAACAGCATGGTAATGTAGAGACAGACGGTGAAACAATTCTCTTAATTGTGTCAAACTAAATCTTGGGATTTCTCTTTGAGGAAGAGATTAAGTTGGCAAAATAAGCAGTTATAGCTTCCTTTACTCCAGCATTAAAAGAAACTCTGAGGTCTTTGAGATATGAGCAATGCACTTCTAGCCCAGTGGCTTTCCATAGCCGCTCTGTCCTGCGACACTTCCGTCTCAAGCTGCAGACAGCATCTGTCATCCATGGAGAAGTGTTGTAGGCAGCCCTGGTCCTTTCCTTAAGAGGTGCCACTTTATCCAGCAAAGTGGTGCAATGTTCATTAAAATACTGTATCAAGAGTTCAACATCATTGAGATTTGTGTTAACATCGCAGCAGAAGTGCATAGAGAACTGATCAGCTGTACTCTGAGTAATAATGTGGGAGTGGAATGTTTGTTTCAGACACAAGGGGTCAGCATTGACAGAAAGATCAAAGAAAATACATTTATGGTCACTGATCAGTAGGTCCTCACAACGGGTATTATCAATATCAAGACCCAGAGAGAACACAAGGTCCAAGGTGTGACTACCCCTGTGAGTGGCGCCAGAAACATGTTGCAGTCTGTGGTATCATTGATATGCAGATTAAAATCACCAACCAGAAGCACTTTGTCTAGCTTGATAATAGAGGTCAGAAAGTCTGCGAACTCTGATAAGAACTGACCTGCAGGACCTGGAGGTTGGTAAATTAAAAAACAGTAAAATGGCTTTAGCCGGCCCACTTTAGTCAGCTGTAGTTCAACAGTAGCATAGGATTCTGTGCTCCCCAATTGGCAGGAAAACTGATTCTTCCAGACCACGGCGAGGCCTCCACCGCGGCCTGTCAAACGCGGTGTCCCAACATAAGAACAGTCCACAGGGCGGAGTTCATTGAAATGGATGCATTCCATATTTCGTTGCCAGGTCTCAGTCAGAAATAAAAAAGCCAAATTATGACTTGTGAACAAGTAATTTAAAATGTGAGCCTTGTTTGTTACAGAGCGTGCATTAATCAGACACATTTTGATGGGGGAAGACACTGTGTCGTCATCAGCACAGGAAGCTTTGGGGGTATGTGTAATAGGACGGATCACTCGTGCAACCCCTCGAACCCGACCATAACTAGGGCGTGAGCGCGAGTCTGTGATTCTCACGGGAATGTTCATGGGTCGTGGAGTGGAAGTTACGGTAGAGGCTAGGAAGAGAGTAGTAGGAGACCCTCCATGCTGCCAGGGGGAGGTAGTGTTGCTTGTAGGGGATGAATGCGGCTGATGAATAATCGTAGAGGAGGAGTGACAGAGGACAGGGGATCCAGGATCATGTGTGCCAGGTGTAAACAGTCAATCATGTGAATAGGAGTGAACAGCATGCTGTAAATTAGCTGCTAGCAGGCGGCTACCCAGTTTGTTAAAATGAATACCATCGTTCTTAAAAGCGGAAGAGCGGTCCCAAAACAGTCAATGAAGCTCACGTTGTTGGTCCTGCAGGCGGCCTGGAGCCAAGTGTGGAGACAGAGGACTCTGCTGAACCGTTGTGATCCACGGCCAAGTGTTGGAGTTGGACCACTGATGAAAGCAGACAGTCCACAGCTGTTTAAAAAGTGTAAAAGATTTGTAGAATCAATCTTGGTCAACTCAGACTGGTGGAGGGCTGTATCGTTGATTCCCACATGAACGATAATTCGCCGAATGGTAGACGGGAGGGCGTACAGCAGACCAGGCAGTTTCAGCAGGATGTCTTGAGCCGTTGCTCCGGGGAAACAGTGTGTCTCCGCGTTGAAGAAACGGGTATTCCTGATTATTGAGTCCCCGACTATCAGTGTCGTCGGGGCGAAGAGGGGACGAGGCGAGAATACTGCGCGTGTAATATGCATGGATGGAGGCGAGGATTTAACCAGTGGTGGCGGAGTGGACGAGCAAGGACTGAGAGAACAGGGGACCGAAGCTCGCCGCGGTGCTGGTGTAAAGCACGGTATGGAGCGGCGTATCCTGGGGCGAGAGGAGTGCTCAGTAATGACTGGCGTAGGGATGTCGGGGGAGCCGGGGCTGTGGGTCCCTTGAGGCGGCAGCTGGGATGGTGTAGGAAACTGGGAGTCCCTAGCCAGAGGAGGGAAGTCGTGTAGGGCAAGGGCATCATATCCATTCTTCAGCTGGACATCGAAGTTATGGGGTGTAGGAGAGGGATGTCTCCCTATCCGGTTACTGCGAGCACAGACCAGGGTCCAGGGCTTGTGATGTGATGGAGTGGAGCTGACCAGGGCTTTAGGCTTAGCTCCGAGCCGTAGCCAAGAAGCCTCAGGAGCTGTGACCAGAGGAGGGGCCGCGGCAGCAGGACTGGAAGCGATGGAATCATGCACACGGTCGCTGGCTGTGTCGGTTTGTGCTGGACCGAAGATGATGGTGTCGACGAGGTTCTCGGCATCCTGGATCCTGTAGAGCGTGGATATTCTTCCTTCCAGCTCTGTGATTTTATCCACCAGGCGGGCGCAGCTGACACAGTCAGATGGAGAGGTGAGTGGAGCCATAGCAGATCTTGGTGGACAATTGGGCTCCAGCCCGTAGTCCACAGCCTTGTCCAGGTATTAGCAAAGGTGGAAGCTGATTCACAGACGGTTCCGTTTTCAGTATGACGTGTGTAGACACTCTATATCTGTGGTCTCCATAGCGTTAGCTAGCTTCAGAGCCCAGGGCTAACAAACGAGCCGGTAGTAGCCCAGCAGGCTAAGCGGTCTGGGGAACGCAAAAATCTAAGAGGTCTAGTACGTGTTGGCTGACATCGTACTACTACTACTATATTACACTTACATCTCACTTGTTTATAGGACTGTTATCTGTTTGTGCACTTTGTTTTATATTTTACTGTAAACTTCAATATGTTTCTACTTTTTGCACTGTGTGATTGTTTGATTGTTAAATGTTATTCACCACCCGCCAGTCAAAGTCCTGGTATGTGCAACATACCTTGGCAATAAACGGTTCTGATTCAGATTCAGATATACAATAATATGTATAATCATATAATTGTATGTATATATATACAATTATATATATATAGTACGCACACAGACACTTTCTAACACATTGCAGTCATTTGTCCTATCGTCTGTCTCCTCCTTAACATTTACAACAATTCTCCTCTCTCAGTGTGCATCGATGTGTTCTAGGTGTGTGTGGGTGTGTGTGTAGTGTGTGTAGTGTGGTGTGTGTGTGTGGTGTTTCTGTTTCTGACAGCATCACTCCCTGACAAGGTGTCAGACACCTCTTCTTAAAGATATGTGAAAGCTGCTCTCCTCCTGAAAACACGCACACACACACACACACTGTTGTTACGAGGTAGATGTTTCTATAATGAGTGAGTGTGTGTGTGTGTGTGTGTGTGTGTGTGTGTGTGTGTGTGTGTGTGTGTGTGGTAGCAGAGAGCAGATCTGATTCGTTTCTACCTTACAGGTATTTACCACAGCCCGCCGGCTGAGTGAAGTCTTCGAGGTTTAACAGTAAATATCTGTATTCTGTTTTACTCACACGTGTTTGATTTTAAATATAAATTGACCGTAATCCAACAGAGTGCTGCTCCAATAAATAGGCTTTCAGCAAACAACTGAGTGGTGATTGTAGGCGGATCATCGGTGCATTGGAGCCTGTGATCACATGACCAGTGACATCACTATGAATCACATGCTCAGTCACCTGATCAATCCACCTGATCGTGGATCATATTCATGTTATCTAATATTCATCTTGAACTATAAAGTGTGACATTAAATATTGTGTTCCTTGAATCAACAGAGTTGGGTTCAAATCATCAACACTAGTTTATTTTAATAAATAAGCCTTTTATATATAAATACAAGAGAGAATATAATATAGAGTAATACACAGTGTATTGATGGTGTATTTATGGCGCATTGATGGTGTATTGATGGTGTATTGATGATGTATTGATGATGTATTGATGGTGTATTGATGGTGTATTGATGGCGTATTGATGGCGTATTGATGGCGCATTGATGGTGTATTGATGGTGTATTGATGGCGCATTGATGGTGTATTGATGGTGTATTGATGATGCATTGATGGTGTATTGATGATGTATTGATGGTGTATTGATGATGTATTGATGATGTATTGATGGCGTATTGATGATGTATTGATGGCGTATTGATGATGTATTGATGGCGTATTGATGGTGTATTGATGACGTATTGATGTATTGATGATGTATTGATGGTGTATTGATGGTGTATTGATGATGTATTGATGGTGTATTGATGATGTATTGATGGTGTATTGATGATGTGTTGATGGTTTATTGATGATGTATTGGTCTCTCTGTCTCTAGTTCCAGCCTCGGTGCCCATGGAGTCTCTACAGAATACTCCGTACGAAGAGAAGATCTTCATTCAGTGGAAAGCTCCCAACGAGACCAACGGGGTCATCACTCTGTACGAGGTCAGTCACAGACGCCACCCTCACACTCACATATAGTGTGTGTGTGTGTGTGTGTGTGTGTGTGTGTGTGTGTGTATATATATATATATATATAGGGTCCGTTCATCAGGTTCACCTGTGTAATCTATTACACTACAGCCCTTCATCATGTTCACTCTTTGACACAGAGAGTCGTCATGAAGTGTGTCGTCAATACTGTAAAAAACAACATCGTGGAATGTAGAGAAGTTAAATATTAACGTAATACATCTGGATACGCTGCACAATATCAATGATATGCTGAATTCATATGAAGCTAACTGTAATTGTTGGTCCTTTTCTTGTGATTGAGCATCTTTTCACTTGAAATATTGAGTTGATTGATTTGTCCTGATGAGTGTTGACTGAACATCTTTGTAAATGAAGTTGACCTTTTAAGATGTTTTAAAGGCTCACTGGATGAATTCTGTCTTCGAACTCATCCTGGGTTCAAACTATTGGATGGTATTTCCTTGTTTGTCATATTTAATGTGTCACATGACTGCCAGGTTATATTATATGAACACTCAGCAGCAGCTCAGAGGAGAATGTTTAAACTCTTGTGGAAGAAGAAAGCGAAAAGTTGGGCTTGGAAATGAAGAGAAGGAGAAACTTCTCCCTCGACAGTCCTTGAGACAACGTTTGGAGTGAGTGAGATAGAGAGATAGATTGTGACTGTGTGTGTGTGTGTGTTGGGGGGTTCTAGATGGTTTATTCGGGTTGAAGTTGAGTTGAGCCCTCCATCTAATGAATTATTGACCCGTTCTCTGCCTCCTGTCTGCCTCTTATATCACTGCATCAAGGAGACACCTCACACCAAGACCTGGCAGGGCTATTAGAGTGTGTGTGTGTGTGTGTGTGTGTACAAAAGGATATTTCCATGATACCTCAGTCACAATTATCTTATAGCGATTTGTTTCCTTTTTTTCTGCCGATGATGCAGTTTGTCTGTTTAAAGCAATAAGATAACGTTTCCATCTCACTTCAGTCATTTTAATTACGTCTCAATAGTTTTTATGAGTGTAGCAGAAGGACGGACAGTCATAAAATGGTGTCACAGTGTTGCATCATGTTGGTGATATTTGAAAGTCGACATGGTGAATCCTGCTGACTTTAAACTCACTGAAGAAGCTCAGCAGCCTCGAGAGGACGGAGAGAAACCAAAAGGTTTGATTTGGATTTCGGGATGTGAAGATATGAAATTTAGTTTTAATCAGTTTTATTGTCAGAGGACATTCAGCATTATTAAGCAGGATATTTCTACTAGGCCTGTAGCTAATATACATAACATATTTTATGATTATATAATATAATAAATATTTATTATCATCAACTATTTCCTTTTACTTGGTTTGAATCATCTATGGTGGAGATTTAAATAACAACACAATTCAAATGATTAAAAAATGAAAGCGTTTATTTCTATGCGTTAATACTTTTAATAATGTATTATAATTTGCTAAGAGCTATTGTTAGGAAGTTAAAGCTACTAGAAGAAACATGTATGTTATGTCCTCTCACTTTACTGACAGTCTGCCGAGAGGAGGAGCTCTGCTCAGCATCACATGTCAACACATCATGATCATCTTATCTTTTACTTTCATCCAATACTCATTTCTACTGAATGGAGTTTCAATGCATCACCATGTAACACGATGGAGCCTCCGCACGGCTCTTCTTCATGCTTTATAACGGGACAGATCTATTCTTCTCTAATATTATCAGGGATCGATGACTTGAAAGCATTAACCATATTTTTTATAAATATATCTAACATCATGGTGGCATCATGAAATTGCTTGTTTTGGTTTTCACTATTAAAACATTTAACAACAAAATCATAAAAGCTGCCAATCGTCACATTGGAAGAGCTGGAATAGAGAATGTTTGTTCTTGTGCTGAAACATGTATAATTAGTGATGTGAACAGGATTAACGTCACTGTTAACTGTTATGTTTCTATTATAAGTAGTTATTAGGACGATGGCCGTTATCGTCGTGTTATATATTTTTCGGCTGGATAGAGAATGTTCTTCTTACACATCTGGCTCCGTTTAGCCTCTATCTCTCTGAAGCACCCGTCTCCAGTCCATCCTCTCAGTACCGTCTCTGAGACCTCCATTAGACCCGGAGCCACAGCTTGAAACACACTCTGGGACATGGATTCGGTCTTGTTTTGTGTGTGTTTCATTAATGTGAGTGTGAGCCGCCCTCTCTGCCGGCGGAGGCGGCACGACTCGGCTTCATGTGTTAAACATATCGGAGGCTCGACACAAAGCACAGCTATTAGAGATAATTACTATAATTGCAGCTATTGACGGGATTAAAGGCATCATCTGCGACATCTAAAGGGCTCCTGTTGTCTCCACTCATGTTCCCATCGCTGCTCTACAGGAAGACCGGATGAATTAGACCTCTGACAATGAGGGGGGGTGGGGGGGGTAGTTAGTGTGAGGAGAGATAAGGAGAAAGAGAAGAACGAAAGGGAGGACTGGGAGAGGAGATAAAACGTACTATTATTCATCTTATAGCATGATTACATGAATTCATTCTGTGTGCAAATATGATCACTTCATCTCCTGCTTCTATTACTATAATTACAGCTAATTACAGGATTAAAGGATACATCTGGGTGAGCTCTAAAGGGAGCCCCCCCCCCACCCACTGTCCTCTTCATCTGAGAGGAGATAAATGATGTCTGGGGGAAAGGGAGGGAGGGAGGGGTGAGGAGGGGAGAGAGAGAAACACGGATGATCATTTGATCATCACAAATCTTTTCCATGAACGTACGAGGAAACAGACGATAATAAATCAACGTTATTTCTAGCATTGATTATCATCTCTGAATATGGATTCATCTGCTGGAGTTTAAGGAATAATCTGTTGCACTAAACAAAGTCTTTAAATCTCAGAAACCTTTGAGATCCAGCAGATTAGATTAAATACGAGGTTTTACTGGTTTTACTGGCACCTTCTTAAAGTGATCAGTACATCATTCTTAGCTGACAGAGGACCTCTCAGCCAATCAGCTGGTGTGTTTGTCACACTGTAAACTTCTAATCCAGAAGAGGTTCCCGTCCTGCACGGAGCAGATTAGACCCGGTCAGTGTCAGGGATTTTAATCAGATCTTTTTAAACACAGGCTGCACTTGAACTGGTTTCAAACCGGGCACCAGATCTGTTGGTGGGATTTAGGTATTTTCAGGTTTTAAAGGAGGGACTTTACAATATTGGCTTCCAAAGACCTCCTAACACCATCCTGGGTCATGGTCCTCTCTGTTACATGGCTGCCTCCCTGCTGGTGTGCTGGATCTCTGAGAGCTGATGGACGGATGAATGGATGAATGGGCGGATGGATGAATGGGCAGATGAATGGATGGAAGGATGGATGGATGAATGGATGAATGGCTGGATGGATGAATGGATGGATGGACGAATGGGCAGATGGATGGATGGATGGATGGATTGATGAATGGATGGATGGAAGGATGGATAGATGAATGGAAGGACGGATGGATGGATGGATGGATGGAAGGATGGATGGATGGATGAATTGATGGATATATGGATGGATGGATGGATTGATGGATTGATGGATGGATGGATGATGGACGGATGGATGGATGAATGAATGGATGGATGAATGGGTATATGGATATATGGATGGATGGAAGGATGGATAGATGAATGGATGGATGGATGGGCGGCTGGACAGATGGACATATGGATGGGTGGATGGATGAATGGATAGATGGATGGATGGACGGCTGGATGAATGGATGGATGGATGGATGGATGTAGGGATGAATGGACAGATGGGTGGATGAATGGATGAATGAATGGATATATGGATAGATGAATGGATGGATGGATGAATGAATGGATAGATGAATGGATGGATGGATGGATGGATGGATATATTGATATATGAATATATGGATGGATGAATGGATGACATATGGATGGATATATGGATGGATTGATGGATGGATAGATGGATGGATGCATGGATGAATCTATGGATGAATGGATGGATGGATGGACGGACGGACGGATGGATGGATGGATGGATGGATGGATTGACAAATGGATGGATGGAAGGATGGATAGATAAATGGAAGGACAGATGGATGGATGGATGAATTGATGGATATATGGATGGATGGATGGATTGATGGATGGATGGATAGATGACTGGATGGATGGATGGATGAATGAATGGATGGATGAATGGGTATATGGATATATGGATGGATGAATAGATGGATGGATGGATGAATGGACAGATGGATGGATGGATGAATGGATATATGGATGAATAGATGGATGGATGGATGGACATATGGATGGATTGATGGATGGATGGATGGATAGATGGATGGATGGATAAATGGATGGATAGATGACCAGATGCGGAAGCTAACACTGACTAGAAGAAAGCAGTGGAGCAGATCATAATAATAATAATAATAATACATTTTATTTATATAGCGCTTTTCATAAAACTCAAAGACACTTTACATTAAAATCATCATATATAAAAGCAATACACTAAAAACATAAAATACACAATAGTGGCCACACATTAAAAGCAGTTTTGAACAGGTGGGTTTTGATTTGAGATTTGAATGTGCAAAGGTCAGTGCAGTCTCGGATGTGTTTGGGGAGAGAGTTCCAGAGGGAGGGGGCAGATATGGAGAAGGCTCTGTCACCCCATGTCCGGTGCTTGGTCCTGAGTGGAAGGGACAGGAGGTTGGCATCAGAGGAGCGGAGCCGACGGGATGGAGTGTGGTGGTGAAGCAGGTCGGTGAGGTAGGAGGGAGCCTGATTGTGGAGGGCTTTGTGAGTGAGGAGAAGGATTTTGTATTGGATCCGTTGTGGGATGGGGAGCCAGTGGAGGTTCTGGAGAACAGGGGTGATGTGGTCACGGGAGCGCGTGTGGGTGAGCAGGCGAGCAGCAGAGTTTTGGATGTACTGGAGTTT